AAAGAAGCGGTTTACTAGGGTGATCCAGCCAGCCGAGATGGAGAGCATCCACGTCATATAAATATCTTTATTCCCAGCTCAACAACGTTCAAGAAGGCTAGCCACGTTTACCACATGGGCGACCTTCGCCTGCCAAAGATTAAAATGATATGGTGAACTGAAGAAAAGGCTTTCCTGGAATGACGAGGCATTCCCCATACCACATAGGGAGAAGAATAGAGACGTCAGCTAAAAAAAAAAAAAGACCGCGAGAAACTCACCTCTCAGCTTAGATAGATCTAAACCCCACACATTCACTGTTCTCATTTCAAAAGACATTTTTACTGATGAAGATCGGCCTGATCAATCATCTTCATGCCCATTGCAATCTACAACCATGGGGGACTAGTTTGAGTACAGAAGCTTATCAACTTCTTGCAGACCATAATGACATGGCAACAAGACGTTATTCATCAGGAGCTCAAAAACGCCAAATTTCTCTATTCGAAAAAGGGAACAGTCATGCAACAACCACAGAAGAATATCTCACTCTCTCTCTCTCTCTCTCTCTCTCTCTCTCTCTCTCTCTCTCTCTCTCTCTCTCTCTCTCTCTCTCTTTCCTGGTTAATTACAAAACCGACCAAATCCTTGCTGTAGTCTTCTTCAACTGTATCAATTCAACACATGGAATACGGACACCTGCCAGGAGTCAGTGTGTCTAAAAAAAAGGGACGTGGAAAAGTTGACATGATCTCTGCCCCTTGTCAACTACAGGGTAAGTGTCAGAAACAGAACCAGGAAATGTATTCTAAGTCTTATATTTAATTTTCGTGTAAATTGCTTGTGTTTTTTAGCCCCTATCGACACCATTTAGTTCCTCTTGGAGGCAGGCTTCCAACCTTGCCAGTCAGGGTCAACCCGGGCTGAGAGGGATATAACATCCCACTAGAAAGGCCGAGATACATAGAAAGTAATGTTTCCTTCCACTTGGGAATCGTAGGAGTACACAGCATCTATCCACACGACCAGAGCTTTCGACACGGTCAGACGTGAAGAGCAATTGAAGTTTGGCTGCACACCTCGCTCCGCCTTGCCACAAGTATTATTCGCCTCTCTTGCAGTTACAGTGTGGCCTTACCTTAATCGGAGATGACTATATAATGACTTACTTTTTTGTCTCCGCCCTAATTCAGATGACAAGGCCGCCTCGCGCAAATGTCGCACACACGTCTTCCTTAAAAACTGTCTTACAAAAGTGCAAATCAAGACATGCTTGAAGTCTCATAAAATTAAGAAGATTCGTCAGAAACATAATCTCAAGGCCATACCGCCTGGCGATGCAACACCTGCAATGAACATGGTTACGAAGACACAAAGAAAGGGCGAACTGCTAAAAATTAAATTATATGTATAGGTTAGAGCCACTAACTCTAATAATTAATCTGTCATGCAGTAACAGAACAGTGCACCTGTGCTGGGTCTGCGGTAGGCCTTTTGGCGCCAGTTTTAGTCGGATTAGTCAACTGCTGAACAAACTTGTGAACCTTCCAACTCCGCGTGAAGGTGGACAAACAACAATAATATGTTTGTTTGCTTTTTTGTCTACCTGATTGTCTGTCTGTCTGTCTGTCTGTCTGTCTGTCTGTCTGTCT